TGACTGAAATGTTGAATTGGAATCCAAAGAAACGACCAACAGCAAGCCAGGTAAAATGAAATCTCACTGGTACACTTTTGTTAAGTTTTGAGGATGTACAATACAGGGATATTTTCATTTGTAAAGATAAGTCTTTTCTCAGCCAGGTATACCAAAAGAATTAAAGCCCTAAAGTCTTAAGGCCCAGTATATATAATAAATTAATTTCTAGGCATGCAAGATATTTGGGAAAACTGCAAAAATAGTCATACCAGTAATTTTACATGTTTTATAGTTTAAATGGGAAACACTATAAAGGTAAGGCTGAAAGGAATACTGTATTTTGCCATATATAATGCACACTTTTTTTAGATTATTAGATGAGTTTTATTTTTTGTTTCTTTTTTTTTAGCTTTATTCCATTTATTTATTTTTTCCACTTTTTTTATTGTTGCTCAAGTACAGTGTTCTCCATTTTCCTCCTACCAATCTTCACACCCCAGCCATTCCCACTTCCCACCCTTGATTTTACCCCTCTTTGGTTTTGTCCCTGTGTCCTTTATACATGTTCCTATAATACTTCTCCCTTTCCCACCATTATCTGCTCCCATCTTCCCTCCGGTTACAGTCAGTTCTTAATTTCAATGTCTTTGGTTATATTCTGCTTACTTGTTTGTTTTGTTGACTAGGTTCCACTTATATGTGAGATCATATATTTGTCTTTCATTGCCTGGGGCTTATTTCACTTACCATAATGCTGTCCAGATCTATACATTTGTCCCAAAGAGTAGAGCTCCTTTCTTTCTGCTGCATAGTATTCCGTTGGGTAAATGTACCATGTTTTTTTGAACCATTCATTTACTGATGGGCACTTAAGTTGCTTCCAACCCTTGGCTATTATAAATTGTGCTGCTGTGAACATTGAGGTGTATAGGTTGAAACACCAATTCTTTTAAATTGGTGTTTCGGGGATCTTAGGGTATAATCCCAGCAATGGAATTGCCAGATCAAAAAGTAGTTTTATTTTTAGTTTTCTGAGGAAATTCTATACTGTTTTCCACATTGGCTGCACCAGTTTGCATTCTCACCAACAGTGCACTATGGTTCCCTTTTCTTCACATCCTCTCCAACACTTGTTTGTTGATTTGTTTATGATGGCCATTCTGACCAGTATGAGATGGTATCTCATTGTGGTTTCAATTTGCATCTCTCTTATGGCTAGTGATGCTGAGCATCTTTTCATAATTCTCTGGGCCCTTTGCATGTCCTCCTTGGATATGTATGTTCAAGTCCTTTGCCCATTTTTTAATTGATTGTCTTCCTGGAGTGGAGTCGTGTGAGTTTTTTATATATTTTGGAGATCAAACCCTTATTCGAAGTGTCATTGGCAAGTATGTTTTCCCATATTTGGTTGTCTTTTCATTTTAATGCTGTTTTCTTTAGCCATGCAGAAACTTTTTATTTTGATGAGATTTACATTTGTTTATTCTTTCCTTTATGTCCCTTGCTATATGGGACATACTGGTGAAAATGTTGTCGTGTGGAATATCTGAAATTTTCCTGCCTATGTTCTCCTTTAGGACTTTTATGGTGTCATGACTTATATTTAAGTCTTTTATCCACATTGAATTTATTTTTGTGTATGGCGTAAGTTGGTGATCAAGTTTCATTGTTTTGCATTTAGCCGTCTAGCTCTCCCAACACCTTTTGTTGAAGAGGCTATTTTTACTGCATTTTATGCTTCTTTCCCCTTTGTCAAATATTAATTGACCATAGAGACTTGGGTTTGTTTCTGGGCTCTCTATTCTGTTCCATTTGTCCATGTGTCTGCTAGTACCATGCTGTTTTGATTACAGTAGCCTTGTAATACAATTTGATATCAGGTATTGTGATCTCTTCTACTGTGTTCTTCTTTCTCAAAATTGCTAGTTATTCGGGGTCATTTATGGCTCCATATAAATTTCTGAAATGTTTGTTCTATATCTGTTAATTTGTCATTGGTACTTTAATAGGGATTGCATTGAATCTATAAATTCCTTTGGATAATATGGACATTTTTATGATGCTAGTCATAAACTAGCATCATAAAAATAAACTAGTCATAGTTTATGACTAGTTAATAAAGAGTCGTAAACTCTTCCAGTTCATGAACATGGTACATGTTTCTATTTGTTTGTGTCTTTCTTGATTTCCTTCTTCAGTGTTGTGTAGCTTTCAGAGTACAAGTCTTTTACCTCCTTGGTTAGGTTTATTTCTAGGTACTTTATTTTTCTTGTTGCTACATGAAATGAGATCCCCCCCCCCCCCAGATTTTTGTTTCTGCTATTTCATTGTTGAGATACAAAAATGCCTTTGATTTCTGAATATTGACTTTGTATCCCACTGTTTTTCCAAATTCACTTATTAGGTTGAATAGTTGTTTGGTGGAGTCTATAGGATTCTCTATGTATACTATTATGTCACCTGCAAACAGTGACACTTTTGCTTCCTGCTTTCCAATTTGGATGCCTTTTACTTCTTTTTCTTGTCTGATTGCTCTGGCTAGGAATTCCAATACTATGTCGAATAGAAGTAGTGAAAGCAGACATCCTTGTCTTGTTCCTGAACTTAGTGGGAAAGCTTTTCATTTTTGCCCATTGAGTATGACGTTGGCTGTAGGTCTCTCATATATGGCCTTTATTATATTGAGGAATGCTCCCTCTATTCCCACTTTGCTGAGTGTTTTTATCATAAATGGGTGTTGTACCTTATCAAAAGCTTTTTCCCCATCTATTGATATGGTCATGTGGTTTTGTCTTTCCTTTTGTTTATATAATGTATTACGTTTACTGATTTGCAAATACTGAACCATCCTTGCATCGCTGGGATCAATCTCACTTGATCATGATGTATGATCTTTTTAATGTATTGCTAGATGCAGTTTGCCAGTATTTTGTTGAGGATTTTAGTGTCTATGTTCATCAGTGATATTGGCCTGTTGTTTTCTTTCTTTGTTGTGTCTTTGTCTGGTTTTGTAATTAGGATGATGCTGGCTTCATAAAAAGAGTTTGGGAATCTTCCATCTTCTTGGATTTTTTGGAATGTTCTATGAAGCATAGGGGTTAGCTCTTTTGTAAATTTAAAATTTTTGTAAAAAATTTTTGTAAAATACTCCTGTGAAACCATCTGGTCCAGGGGTTTTGTGTGTTGGGAGTTTTTTGATTACTGCTTTGATTTGGTCAATTGTTATTGGTCTGTTCGGGCTTTCTGCTGCTTCATTAAGTTTTGGAAAATTATATTTTTCTAAAAATCTGTCCATTTTACCTAGGTTTTCAAATTTCTTGGCATATAGTTCTTCGTAGTAATTTTTTACAATCCTTTGTATTTCTGTGGTACCAGTTGTAATCTCTCCTCTTTCATTTCTGATTGTGTTTATTTGGGTCCTCTCTCTTTTTTTCTTGATGAGCCTGCTTAGAGGCTTGTTGATTTTGTTTTCTTTTCAAAGAACCAGCTCTTGGATTTATTGTTCCTTGGAATTTTTCTTTTAGTCTACATTCTTTTATTCTGCTCTGATCTTGGTTATTTCCATTCTTCTACTTGCCCTGGGCTGTCTTTGTTGTTCCTCTAGTTCTTGTAGATGTAGGGTTAGGCTGTTCATCTGAAATGTTTCTATCTTTTTTTAGGTAGGCCTGTATCGCTATGAACTTCTCTGTCAGGACTGCCTTCACTGTGCCCCATAAGTTTTGGATTGTTGTGAGTTCATTTTTATTTGTTGCCAGAAACTTTTTGATTTCTTCCTTGATGTCATACTTGACCCATTCATTGTTTAATAGCATGGTATTCAATATACATGAATTTGAGTATTTGGTTTTTTCTTTGAGGTTGGTTTGTAGTTTCAGTCCTTTGTGGTCAGAGAAAATGCTTGATATGATTTCAATTTCCTTGAATTTATTGAGGCTTATTTTGTGTCCTATCATGTGTTCTATCTTTAAAAATATTCCTTGTGCATTTGAAAAGAATGTGTATTTTGCTTCTTGGGGGTGAAAGGCTCTATATATATCAGTTAAATCCATCTGATTTAGGACACTGTTCAGTGCTGCAATGTCCTTGTTGATATTTTGTTTGGAAGATCTATCCATTTTTGATAGTGGGGTGTTAAAACTCCCCCATTTTTGCTGTCTGTATCTTTCTTGAAGTCCTCCAAGTTTTTTGTTATGTATTTGGGTGCCCCTATGTTGGGTGCGTATGTGTTTATATCTTCTTGACTGATTCTTCCCTGGAGTAGTATGAAGTGTCCTTCCGGGCCTCTTTTTAGGGCTCTTAGTTTGAAGTCTATTTTGTCTCTTATGAGTATTGCTACCTCAGTTTTATGTTTTTGTTTTTGTTTTACTGTCCATTTGCTTGGAATATATTTTTCCAGCCATTCACTTTCAGTTTGTGTACGTCTTTTTTTCTGAGGTGGCTTTCTTGTAGACAACATATGTGTGGGTCATGATTTTTTATCCATTTGGCTACTCTGTATTTTTTTATTTGAACATTTAATCCATTTACATTTAAGGGTGTTATTGATAGGTACTTATTCATTGCTATTTTGCTTTCTTTGTATCTGTGTTCCTCTTTCTCACACTTTCTTTCTTTTCTTAAAGCAATCCCTTTAGCATGTCTTGCAGTGCTCATTTGATGGAGATGTATTCTTTCTGCCTTTTTTTGTCTGGGAAACTCCCTATTTCCCCTTCCATTTTAATTGAGAGCCTTGCTGCAGGCAAACCTTGGTTGCAGGCCATTGTTTTCCATTACTTCAATTATTTCTTACCATTCCCCTCTAGTTTGGAGTGTTTCCAAATCAGCTGCTGGCCTTTATCAGGGCTCCCTTGTATGTTACCTCCTGTTTCTCCCTTGCTGCATCTAAGATTTTCTCTTTATCTTGGAATTTTGCCATTTTAATTATGATGTGTTGTGGAGTGGGTCTCTTTGAGTTCTTCTTGATTGGGACCCTCTGTACTTCCTGGATTTGTGTGACTTTTTCTCTCATCAAGTTAAGGAAAAATATGGAATGCTTCACAAGTTTGCATGTCATTCTTGCACAAAGGCTATGCTAATCCCTGTGTAATTCCAATTTTAATATATGTGCTGATGAAGTGAGCACTAATGCACACTTTTTTACCCAAATTTTTAAGGGAAAAATAATAATGTACATTTTACATGGGTAATACTAAGTCCATATCTGTATAAATGTTTTTAATTCTTTTATTTGTGCTATATATTAAAAGTATAACTCTAGAAAACATTAACTTTTTTATATGCAAAGCAGTACTCTGGAATACATTAATAGGTTTTGTTGAACTTACAACGAACTTGCAGTGAAAGCAGTTTTACCCAGTGATTCAATGAAATGCAATGAAGAGCAATGATTATTATCCACAGAGTAAGATAGATGATGCCAATTATTATCCACTTGATAAGGTAGGTGATACCAAATTATTACAGTAGGATGAACAGCATGACATTTTTGTCCGTACACTTTAGTCGGGAGAAATTATTAGAAAATTCCTTGGAAAACATTGAAACAATTTTCATACACTGTAAGCTTTAAGCTAAAAGTTATTAAATATCTAAAAAGCATGGCATTAGGGCTGCCAAGAGACACTTTGGACCTCCTTCCACAGTGTCATCAGATTGTGGAGGCTACAGGAAGAAAAGCTTCTTCAGATGCCAAGACAAGGCGCAACATGAGGGAAACCTCCAAAGTGGCTGGAGGTGGAACAGAAAGTCAAGACCTGGATCTGGAGCAGGGTCGGCCTGGGATGTCTGTTTTGACCAAGATGATACAAGAAGAAGGTGAAAGGATTGCAGGTGAAAAAAACATTGATGATTTCTCAGGGAAACCTAATTGGTACTTTAACTTCATGAAGAAAGAAGGTTTAAGCATGAGAGCATGAACGAAATTTGCCCAGAGTCTTCCAGCAGCCTATGAAAATCAAGTTTTGGAGTTCACTCTAATGTTATTCAGTCTTTGAAAGACGTAAGACTGTGAACTGTCTTAAATCGCCAATATGAATGAGGCCCCACTCACATTGATGTGCCATCCAACAAAACTGCGGATGTCAAAGGAGCAAAGACTGTGGCTGTTAGAACTAGTGGTCATGAGAAAACACATTTTACTGTTGTTGTAGTCCATTGTCCAGCTGGGACAAAGCTACTATCTATGAACATCTTTAAGAAAAAAACATTTCTTTTAGTTATTTCTCAAGTACAGTTTTCTGTCTATTTCTCCCATCCCAGCCCACCCCGCCCCGTGCTCCCCACCTCCCTCCCATTTCCACCCCCTTAGTTATTGTCCGTGTCCTTTATACTTGTTCCTCTAAGTCCCTCCCATTTTTCCCCTTAAATTCCCTTTCCTCTCCCCAGAAAAAAACATTTCTGAAAGAAGATTTCAATGGAGTTATTGTCCACGTGCATGAAGGAGAATGTATGAATGAAGAAGGCATGACATCTGGTTTAACAAAGTCTGGTCATGAAGGTCTGGAGGATTACTTTAAAAACCAGCTTTGCTTGTTTTTGATCACTTGAAAACCTATGCTATACAAAGTGAAAAACAATCACAGCAGACTTGAAAACCCAACTTGCTGTAATAGCTGGTGGGCTAACCAGCCAACTGAAACCTCTTGATGTATCAGTAAACAAGCCGGTTAAGACCCTAATGAGGAAAGAATGGATGTCGTGGATGCAGTCAGCATGTAATGATGTAACACCTACAGGCAGAATCAAGAAAGCATCCATCTCCCAGATTTGTGATTGGATCCTACGATGGTGAAACAGTGTCAAGAAGGGAAGTGGCTGTGAAATAGTTTAAAAAATGTGGTTTGGGGGAGTTTTGGCCAGCATGGAGGCATAGGTAGCATCCCTTCCTCACACTACCAAAAGAAGGATAACAGCCAGTTTAAAAACAAAAACAGCCCTGGCTGGTGTGGCTCAGTGGATTGTGTGCCAGCCTGCAAACCAAAGGGTTGCCAGTTCAATTCCCAGTCAGGGCACATTCCTGGGTTGCAAGGCCAGGTCCCCCGTAGGGGCCACGTAGCTGGCAACTACACATTGCTGTTTCTCTTCCTCTCTTTCTCTTTTTCTTTTCCTCTCTTTAAAAAATAAATGCAATCTTAAAAAAACAAAAACTGCCAGAATATCAAACTGTATGGAAGTGTGACAACCAAGGATTTAAAGAAGAAACATTCATCCAGACTGGTAGAAGGGGCAGAGGTGGGAAGGTGGGGCTGAGAGGGTGTACAACCAGGCGGCAGCTGGCAGATGGGTGGGTGAGGCAGCAGCTGGTGGACCAGGCAGTCCCACATTTGTATGTGGATAAGCTGGGAGGAATAACTGGGGGCGGGGAGGGTGAGACAGACTATGCAATCCAGGGTTCCAGTGTGGGGAAATAAAGCCTCAAATTCTGTGGCTTTAAAAATCTGTGGGGGTTGTAGCCCACAGGATCCGAGAATAACACAAGCCCTGCATTCTGGGAATCAGCACCTGAAAGAGCACAGTCCCCTTGTGAGAAGCGAGGGAAGTGATAGAAAGTGGGGCAAGAGCTAAGCAAGGTAGCAAGTGGCATTGTTCCCTCTCTGACCCCTCCTCCACATCAGCACCACAACCCAGCCAACTAGGTTGCCCCATCATGGTGAATACCTAAGGCTCTGTCCCTTATAAGGTAACAGGTGGCCAGGAAAAATAAATGTGGCCCAAATGAAAGAACAGATTGAAATTCCAGAAAAAGAACTAAGTGACGAGGAGACAGCCAACCTATCAGATGCAGAGTTCAAAACACTGATAATCAGGTTGCTCACAGAAATGACTGAGTATGGTTGCAAAATAAAGGAAGAAGTGAAGGCTACACAAAGTGAAATAAAGAAAAATATACAGCCCTGGCTGGTGTAGGTCAGTGGATTGAGCGTGGGCCTGTGAACCAGAGGATGGTGGTTTGCCTCCCAGCTAGGGCACATGCCTGGGTTGCAGGCCAGTTCCCAGCAGGGGAGGCATGAGAGGCAATCATACATTGATATTTCCCTCTCTCCTTCCCTTCCCCTCTAAAGATAAATAAATAGAAAAAAAGAAGGAAAGGAAAGGAAGAAAGGGAAAAATATACAACCTAATCAACAAAACAAATAAGCAAGCAAAGTATAACCAAAGACATTGAAATTGAGAACAGGCAGACAGTGACCAGAGGGGAGAGGGGAGGGCATACTGGGGGAAAAGAGTGAAGGGTTTACAGGAACAATTGTAAAGGACATATGGACAATAACAACAGGGGGTGGAAACGGGAGGGAGGTGGGGAGGGCTGGGGGGAAAAGACAGGAAACTGTACTTGAACAGCAATAAAAAAATTTTAAATAATAAAATAAATATATACAGGGAACAAACAGTGAAGGGAAGGAAACTGGTACTCAAATCAGTGATTTGAAACAAAAGGAAGAAATAAACATCCAACCAGAACAGAATGAAGAAACAAGAATTCAAAGAAATGAGGAGAGGCTTAGGCACCTCCAGGACAACTTTAAAGGTTCCGGTTCCAATATTCAAATCATAGGGGTGCCAGAAGGAGAAGGGGAAGAGCAAGATATCAAAAACTTATTTGAACAAGTGATGAAGGAAAACTTCCCCAATCTTGTGAAGTAACTAGACATGCAAGTCTGAGACGCTCAGAGAGTCCCAAAGAATTTGGATCCAAGAAGAAATACACCAAGGCACATCATCATTACATTACCCAAAATAAAAGATAAGGAGAGAATCTTAAAAGCAGCAAGAGAAAAGGAGATAGTTACCTACAAAGGAATTCCCATAAGACTGTCAGCTGATTTCTCAAAAGAAGCCTTATAGGCAAGAAGGGGTTGAAAAGAAGTGTTCAGAATCATGAAAGGCAAGGATTTATATCCAAGAATACTCTTTCCAGAAAAGCTATTGTTTAGAATGGAAGGGCAGAAAAAGTGTTTCCCAGATAAGGTCAAGTTAAAGGAGTTCATCATCACCAAGCCCCTAATATACGAAATGTCAAAGGGACTTAATCTAAGAAAAAGATCAAAACTATGAACAGTAAAATGACAAACTCACAACTATCAACAACTGAACCTAAAAAACAGAAAAACTAAGCAAACAACTAGAACAGGAACAGAATCACAGAAATGGAGATCATATGGAAGTTTATCAGTGGGGAGGGGAAGTGTAGAATGGGGGAAAAGGTACAGGAACTAAGAAGCATAAGTGGTAGGCACAACATAGACAGGGAGGTTATGAATAGTATAGGAAATGGAGAAGCCAAAGAATTCATGTGTACAACCTATGGATATGAACTAAAAGTGGAGGAATGTGGGTGAGAGGAGGTATGCAAGGCAGAGGGGAATAAAGGTCATGAAAAGGAAACAACCATAATATCATCATAAAATACACTTTAAAAAAGAGAAAATGGGACATCAGCAATGCTGTGGATGGAACCGAGGATCACAATATTTAATGGGATAAGTAAAGTGATTCTTCAGAAGACACTGGTAATGTAGAAATTAAAGAAGATAATACTTATGATATTGACAGTGATGAAGAATTCTTGGCCTGCTATGATGCATACATATTGTAAAATTTGTTACTAGAATATAAAATTTCTTACACCTTGTATTCTTGTGTTTTGTAATTATTACATAAAATTTCTTCTACCATAATATATTAAAAAATAAATGTTAAAATTATTTTATAGTACAAAAACAAGCATCTTAATGTTAATAAATTAAAACAAAAGATTTTTTTTCTGCAAGTTTAGGCCAAAACGTGTGTGTGCATTTTACAAGGGAACACATTATATATGGCAAAATGTGGTAAATCCCTAAAGGTAAACATTCATGCACGGTAGTGCAGACTAGTTAGGAAGACACCTGCTATTGTAGTAAAAAGGCCCCTCTCCAAATCATTTGATGCATTGATTTTCTGGTGCTTACCTTTGAGTTAGATTCTTGTGCACTCTCCCACAGGAGGGCAGTGCGTGCCACTCAAAGCTTGGCTCCTTGGTTACTACACCTTACATTGTACCTCAAGTCTTACAGTCTTTGAAACACCATACTTTTAAATTTTAAATGTGGGCTTAATTTAACAGGTTAAATTAAAATGTCA